TATTAGTGCAGAGCCACTTGTCAATTTGATTGTGTATTTATATATTAAATGGAAAACTTTCTCTTTTTTGAAACCCCAATTCGTTTGGAATTATAAAAGAAAATAGCATTTATAAAATGGTAACTGAATCCAAATAAGTGAAGGTAAGATAAAACATAAATATTATAGACTTAATCTAAAAATCCATATACGAAAATCATTAATCAGTAGACACAATCTGCTACCATTTGGCATCATTTACTTGGTCAATGACGGAGGCAAGAGCTCAGGGTCCAAGGGTCCAAATCAAAATACAACAATATGTTAGATAATTTTTTAATTAGACTTTATGTTATTATGCAGCACAAAAACATATCTTTCTAACAAAATATGCTTCAAATAATTGTTGAAGTGTCGCGGTCGGTGTACGTGTGCACTAACAATAAAGAAAATACACAAGAGCTCCCACAATTCTTCAGACCTAGGGTCACAAATTCTGTGTGACGTCACTGAATTTTACTTGATTTACTTGATTCCTAGGATGCAACTGTAATCCTGGGTATAGAAGCCAAGCATACAATGCTTATTGGCCCCTCGATGAGCAATCTATACTACTTCGTATACTGGGCAAATTTTACCGGGTGGTCAGCCCAAAGCCTCTCAATTGCAGATTTAAACATATTTAGGGATGTAGCATTAACATTTTCCTCAGACAATAAGTTCCAATTCTTAATAATTCGCCTTGAGAATGTCCCTTTCCTCAGATTAGTTCATGAGCAATGGTGCTTTAATTTATATGAATGGCCTCTAGTGGCATTATCAACATTAAAATCAAAAAAGTAATCTTCAGAAATATTATCAAAACCATGAACAATTCTAAACACTTGCAATAAGTCTTCGATACTTTAGTGTTGGAGATTTAGGGCTTTCAATCGTTCCTCATATGGAAGATGACGATATTCAGGAAACATCCTAGTAGCACGCTGCTGTACCTTCTCAAGAAGGTCTTCATCTTTCCTAAAACGTGGAGAATATACAACATTGCAATACTCTAAAATTAAGCTTAAACTCAATTCCGATCTCCAAAACCAAATTTAGTGTTTTCTTTTCCAAATTTCTTCTAACCTTAATTTCTATCACTCAGTAATGGTAAAAATATTGTCAAAACTTATTGTTGTTCTTGATAAATCTATTTCCTCTGTGTGTAAATCATGTATTACGTATATTCGCAGCATTTAGCATTATCGTAATTATCTCTGTTCCAACTTAACTGAGACATTTTGTTCATATATTAATATATTCTATAAGTTGACATACGAACACACAAATGATGGGCTGTCCTTGCAATGTTTATATATTATCATAATTTCATCTGAAACTGCTGAACAAGAAAAATATTATAAGAGTGATGCTTTGCCCTACCTGACGTGTACTGAATACTCAGTACGTTCCCAAATACTTACAAAATAATTTCTAAAGTGATTCGGGTGGGGTTCGAACCCACGACCTCGAGATAACTAGCCTTGCTGAGCCTGAGTTTGCTTCAAGAAAAATATTGTCATTGTTATTAATTATGTCGTTTATGGAAGATTGTCACATGATAAATTCTAATTTTATGTTTGATTTTATGTTTAAAAAATACTTTTTGTATTTTAGGAAGCATGTAGAACAGTACAGCCACTGTTTGTGAGCCTTCTCGTTATGTACTTTACCGTAGACTCGGGTATAACAACCAATGAGGCTTACATGTACGCAACAATCATCGTGTTACTGGGCGCTGCTGCAATTACAGTGAATCATCATTTTTTTCTCTATTCATCTTTGTCAGGAATGAGGATGCGTGTTGCCTTCTGTGGTCTTATTTATCGAAAGGTGAGGATTTTTGTATACAAACTAAATGTTCAAACATACCATTACCTAATTACGAAATTATTATCTCTATGCAGAGTTTAAAGGATGATTGCATACTCATAATCGATCATTTATTACATCAACTCTCAGGAAAAACAAGATAATTGCATGCCATTAAAAAGTTTCAATTCAAAATTAATTTACAAATAATATCGACGTTTTGGGTTCATCATAAATTCATTCTTAAGATCAAGTAACATGTAAAATAGAATAAACCAAAATAAGAGATAGAAAGTTGAGATAGTTACAAGTCACACGATAGCACCTATTGCGTTAATCTGTAATTACAGAATGAATTCCTCGCTGTAATTTTTATGAAATATGTACTAGAAAACGCCTTGTGGGTGGGCATACAAATCGGTCAGAGGGCTAAATTCAACCTCGGATTTTTTTGCTGAGTGTCATTTATCTTTTTTATTGGATTGATGATTTCTGTAAAGAATATAGCATTTGTATGATTATGAACCTGGGTTTGGGATTGAAAGGACGATTATTAAAAACCAGTCAAGAAAATTGTATACAGTAAAGAAACTCTTTGCACCACTTTACACCTTCATTAGTTGATCAATGTCCGCATGAAAATAATTAACAGTGCAACTCAATCTACACTTGCAGGCTCTCCGGTTGAGTAGTACAGCTTTGGGACAGACGACAGTTGGGCAAGTTGTAAATATGTTATCCAATGATGTAAGCAGATTTGATCAGGTAATATATGACAGTCACCTAAAACACTAAAACACACACGCACAAAAAAGAG